CCCAGCTGGGATGAGTGCAGTTAGACGCAAAGTTACTGTGCTGAAAACACAGCAGGAAAAGCAAAATTGATTTTTTTGTGTGTTTCACAGATTTGGCATTACTACTGAAGCGTTGTTCTGGAACAATTAACTCATTAATCCCTTCTTTTACACATATGTGGTATTTTATTGAACACATTATTCTGTAGTGCAATATCTCCATGCCAGAAGTCAGGTCAGAGGGGCTGTTGCATGGAGTGGTTTTCACTGGTTGTGGCACTAAAAATTGATAGCATGAGTCTTGCATTTGGCTATAAAATTAATTAATTAAACTGCTGCAATTTTGTGGAGTCCTGGCAGTACTGGAGCATCTCCATGTGAAGGACTCTCTGGAATCAGGAGTAGGATTGTGGATCTGCTAAATTTCCCCATGTAAAGTCAAATGAATGTGTCTGTACACTGGATGGGTCCTCATATCTGTAGACACTGAAGATACTAAGGTGAAATTCCTGAATTTTGTTTTGCATGGGAAATTTGGGTATGTTTTGATGCAGTTTGTGTTTTCAGCTACACAATTTGCTGTGTATTATATAAGCAGTTGTGATCTCCTTTGGAAAAGTGTTTATATAGGGTTTATTTTAGGGTTTTTTGAATCTAAACAAATTATATAAATGGTGGTAATTGATTTTGTTTCAGAACATACTAGTGAGAGTAAATTTTTTATTTCTAATGCCATGAAATAAAAAGGAAGGTGTGTAGAAACAAAAATATACTTGTTTAGCTGCCTTCCAGCAAGTGAATAGTTCACAGTTTGGTGGGAAGCAAAGTAATTTTCCCTCAGAAGTAGTAATATTTAGGAAAGAGAGGAAAGAATGGGCAAAGACTTGTGTGAGGACAGCAAATCTGAATACATAGGATTAGAGTGTGTGTAATATGGGAATGGCAGGACAGCGTGGCCTTTCCCAGCAGGATCTCAGCATCGTCAGTGGGGCTGCAGGCTCAGCCATGACTCTGCTTTTCCCATACCTCAGCCTTCTCTCACTCCTGTGATTCAGTTTTAAGGAGCCCTGTGGGAAGTGGGGAGTTGGACTCAGTATGGGTCCCTTCCAACTCGAGATATTCTGGGATTCATGATTATCTCCAGGCATAAACCCAGAGTCACAACAACCTGGGAGAGACTTAGACAAGGGATGGAGCCTGTCCCTCTTGTGGAGACCATCAGAATTTGAGTTTTAGAAGCTTATTCAGTGGCAAAATTTATCCTTATAGAAATTCCTTTCTCTGCTTCTGTCTAGTCACCCCAGGACAGCTTTTGTTCCCCAGTTCTACAATTGGGAT